GATTTCAAATTTGGAGACAAACATTGAGGTAGCCTAGCAGAATACTAAAAGCTATTGAGACAGAAATTGTAATATCATGAAAGTACCCGATTAGAACGATGACGGCACTTAGCAAAATGGTGAAATTGGAAAAATAGTGCAAAAACAACGAGGGGATTTGAAATAAAAAATCTCAGTGCTGCATCGACTCGAATTGTAGAAGCAGAAAAGTGCAGAGAGCAGATGATAATGAACATGACGAAGATGAACAGCGATGAAATCGGTTAATTCGTGTTGGAGATAGCAGTTTGCTTGGTCTAAAGGTAAATGCAAATAGCGCGATTAAGTCGTTTGGGAAAACTTTCCTACATAACCAAAGTACGACAGTTTTTAACAAATTTTAGTGGCTACTTTCAAGATATTTATGCTTTAGTGAGATACTCAGATGCTCTACTATTGCAGTGAGCCGAAAAAGAGATTTGCACATCAAATGCACTATTGTTTATACTTTAACTTCAACGTAGTGAGTGACGATATGTCCGATTTATGAAAACAATCATGACACCATTCAAAATGAAAACATCGTCGGCTGTAATCTCTAGTTTACTCGATGTCTACGATAGGACAAGCACGCAGTCACCATCAACGTGCTTACAATAATATTTTAATGACTGGTAAGAAGGCCATTTAGTCGTTCTACTCTTATTTATGAAGCAATCTCAACGGGAGTGATAATTTTTAGCATCGGCGTTTTATGAACTAGTTTCACCCAAAAGAAAATGTACGCAAAAGAACATAGAACGTTTGTAATGGGAAAGTCGAAGTAAGGGGAAGATCGATTTCTCAAAAAAAAATCACTTTTCACTGTTATTATGAAAAAAATCTTTATCGGAAAATTAACTTCTCTGTTTTCTAAATAATTTCTCTAGGAAGATTTTTTGAATATTTCTGAAAAAACACCTCACTATTATTATGAAAAAATCAGCAGTAACATACTTTACTTACTTGATAATTGATACTCATACAGCCCCTCTTCACCAATCGTTCGGACCTCAGCACATAGTTCATTCGTCTCTCTGCTGCTCGACAGTGGTTCATGAAGATGGTCTAATTTGAGCATGGCGGCTGCTGCGAGTGTCATATTGTGATCTAAAAAAATCGGGAACTGCGAGAACAGCTTTGCGATTCTCTAACGAACACGTCCACCCAACGTGTAGGTGGTCGCCCCGAGACGCATACATTGTCGTGGAATCCACTCTACAGTTCTTCTTGCCCATCTGTCGTCCGTTCTTCTCAGTATATGACCGGCCCATCCGTGTTCTATAGATATATAGACCTGTAGGTCATGAAGATAGGATAGACTCCGAAGATGTGAGCTACGCAAGCTAGCCAGATGTTGCGTGCGCCGACTAAATTTCAGAAGACATCGTTCAAGCGCTCCGTGAGTTGTTCGTAGCAGTCTTGACATGGTCGATGTATCAGCCCACGTCTCAGCTGCATAGCAGAGCTCCGGGAGGACCGTTGAATCGAAAAGGTGAGCACGCAGTTTTGGGTCCGTTAGCTGGTCGATGGCTTCTTTGAGAGGCCCGAATGCGGCCCATGCTGCTCTCCTCCTTCTATCTAGTTACTTCTTCATGTTGTTTTCCATGTACAGTGAACGCCCAAGTCACACATACGAGGTGATTCTCTGCAATCAGAGGACCATCTATTTCGACTTCATCACCATTGCACCATGGGTTCTTCATGAACTGAGTGTTCATCCTATTAATAAGTAACCCGATCTTCTTTCCCGCTTCGTTTAACCCCTTTAGTATCGTCTCTGCTTCATTGGTACTTTTCGAACAGATGACAATGTCGTTTGCAAAACGAAGATGTGACAGGAATTTTCCATCAACACAAATGTCTTCTCGTCCCAATCGAGTGACTTCATTACCCACTGCAGCGCGGCGGTGAATAGCCTTGACGATATTGTATCACCCTGTTGAACCCGTTTATCAATGGGCATGGTCAGAGGTAGATGAAGAAGCTGTATTTTTGTAGTGCAGTTTCGATAGCAACCCGACAAAGTTCTTATATTGGACGGATCTACTCCTTGACCGACGAGTGCTGATAGGACTGTATTTGTTTCGACGCTATCAAACGCTTTTTCATAGTCGACAAGTTAAGATCAAGGGCATGTAATATTCCCGACAGACGTCAATGACCCGTGATACGGTTTGGATGTGGTCCATGCAGCAAAATCCTCTATGGAGCCCTGCTTGTTCAATTGGGTGAGCCACATTCAAAGTACTTGTTATGCGCAGAAGGATAATCTTTGTAAAGAGCCTGTAGAGCACACTCAAGAAGCAAATTGGATGATAAATATCAAGATTCTTAGGTCACCTTTTTTATGGAGGATGATTGTGAGCGACGTCCTCCACTGGTCTGGAATTCTTTTCTTCTGGAGGTAGGATGTTATGTGTAGGGAGCAATACATGTAGATTATGGCCTCCAGTTCTTAAAAAGTTTGCGGTGATGTTGTGAAGTCCTGCAGCTGTGCCATTCTTCATACCTTCTACTGCAACACGTACTTCAGAGAGTAAAATCCTGGGTGGTTCTTCTCCAGTGGGGATTACAGGGTCCGGGAGGGGAACGGAAAAAGTTGGTGTGAAATTTCTCTGCTATCAATTCCATGTCATGGCGAGATGCTCTAGCATTCCCGTCGTCGTTCATCAGGGCTGCAAGCGAAACACTGTAATCGCACAAGTTCCAACGGCATTTCTTTAGACTGCATCGTTTTGTGCTGTTTCCAACAGTTTCTTCTGCCTGTTCCGGTGAAGATCCTCCTGCAGAGCTCTTCTGCAGCTCGAGTTTACTATCACTCGAGCTAGATGTACTGCATTAGGATCAAGTCTCAATTTTCTCCTCCTTTCGAGCAAATCCTTAGTGGTAGTAGAGATGCGGTCTAAAGTCTTTGTTAAAATAATTGAGGCGTGCTCGACACAACTTTTTAAGTTCTTTAACAAGCAATTCGTAGTCTTTGGTCGGACCTTCCTTAATCTGCCAGTCATGAGTGAACAGAATCTCGTTTAGATTGTCTTCACAGTAAACGGCTTGACAATTTCTTCTTGATCGATGACATGACTTCTTTTCCAGCGTACGACTGAATCGAATCTTTGCGCGAAGAAGGCGGTGATCGGACGCAGTACAGAATGACGGGACTACAGATGTGTCAAGACAGAAACGGAAGATACACAGAGATACAAGTTTTTATGTTAAGACTGTTTCTAGCATTTTTGAAACAGTTCAACGAAAACGATATCCATGAGGAACGGATGGGTTGTGAATGCCTCAATCACGCTTAACAAAACGAATATCTCCAAAATCTTTAGTCGAGTCGAAGTCCCGGCGCCAGCATGATGAACGACTTAGCAGCAGATTTGAGTAGGAGGAAATGAGCGGCTTGGGAAGCGTTTAAGAGCAATGAGGACGTAATGAAGAAAATCAAGTACATCCAACTACGTGCTCACCTTCTTGACTCAACGGTTATCTCTACCCTAACGTGTGCAGCACAAACTTGGTAACTACGTAAACAGGATGAAAGACCTCGGCGTCAATGAACACGCAGACTAAAGGTTGATGCTAAGAAAATCCTGTTTTTCGCAATTGAGGGAAAGGATTCGAAGTTGGGACTACGTCATCAAAGGTCAAAGATGCAGTTCTACACTCCACAATATTGGAAATAAGGTGGATCGGGTACGTCATGGCTTTGACTACAACCGTAGACGAAAGCCGTTACCGTCTGGATATTTCGGGATATTATACACTCCCCTCGCAGACCTCCTACCCGGTAGTCCGATTTCTTCACGAAAAGCCTAGATGGAAGATGTGATGCTCAACGAATTCCAAGAGCAAGAAGGAGCCACTGGGTTACTCTTGCACGCGACAGAGAAAAATGGAAGTACTGCTGGTGCCTGCTCGAGTTACTCGACGATCAGCGGAACGACAGGTGATACAGGTGATGTTCAAAACATTTCAGTCAAAATATTATTTTAAGCATACTCCCTCGCAGAATGCATCGGCTAAGACCTTCACACTAATCTCCACAAAGGTGGTTCCAGAATTGAGCTTGAACGTGTACAATAGTGTAAGAATGGTCACAAATAGTTCGTGGAGGTCGACTGGCTCCTTGCACGTGAGCACTACGTCGCTTTGAACTCCTGCCCGTGGCTCATCAAAGGATAAAGTTGTGCGCAACAACACTTTGTTCGTGGCCTCACAGATTATCTCTCATCTTCTGAAATATATATCATTCTTCATTGTACGAATTACTACACAGGTCCCACAATTGTAATGAGAGTGTTATGGGTTCTCACCGACCTCCTATCGAACCCTTGCCCACGAAAGGACCGAGGTTAAGTAAAAGTGGATAACAAAAAGTGGATTCCCATGGAACGATGAAACAAAGGCTGTTTTACAATTTTAAATACACCCCAACTCGTAAAGTATAGTAATAATTGAAATAATTCAAAGCTAAGGACGAACTGACACCGCACACCGTGTGCAGTATCACTGTTACAATCCATTCGTTGTTGTCTAATTTCCTATCATTTTCTAATTTTCTATCATTTTCTAATTTTCAACCAATATTGTGACTTGAAGAGCACATGTGGCGCAGTGGTTATACTTGCTCTGCGTCGTATACGAGGTCTATGATTCGATTTCGTGCTTATGGTTCATCAAGCCATTCATTCCCGCGGGGTCGGTAAATTAGTGCCAGGCAAGCCCACACTTGACTGGAAGGACAAGCAGCACTGACCGCGAAGGCCAGAACAATTGCAAAGGCCAGATATGCCTTCATTCACCTCAAACGAATTTAGAAACTGAGGACAAGCTCATGGCGCATCCCTCAGGGGTTGATCAACGTCGAGAACTTTATTATTTGTTATAATGACATGTGTGCCTCGTATGGGATGGGAGAATATCAAAACTGAAGGATCTATGTCTTAATACCCAATGACGCGAGTTATGTGCAAAACTTTCGCGTCAGGCTGGACTCGAATCCGCATTTCATCCTATCAAGGGGAGCGTGCTCTGACCCGTTGCACTACCGACGCCTGTTTTGGCACCATACTTTCTGCGCTATGTCTTGACACTTGACTTTAGAAGCAGGAAAATTTTCACGGGGCTGTCAAAGGTTAAACCAGTTGCCTGTGCACTATTTATCAACACTGATATGTCTAGTCATAACTGTCTTGCGCGCATTCAATACTTATCCCCATATGTAGCTAGAAGGAAGCTATACCTGTCACTGATAAACTGCAAGATTTCTGGTATTAAAAGGTCTCAAAGTTATTTTCGAATGAAGCTGATGCAAACTTTTTTTCGACAGATCGTTTTTGCTGGCGCGATTCGCTCCAAATAAAGGAAATAGGCTTTTCCGAACATTAGACATTGGCGTCATGTAGGAATTCAGATGATGACATCCTGAGTAGGTGTCACAGTAAACGTCAGCACGTTTCGAACAGCACGTCTTGCTTTCGACTGGGAAAAAAAAATGAATTGAATGCATGAAATGCAGGGATCTGCAAAGAATATTTAGAAACGTGCCGCTCAGAACAGTAAATAAAAACAAATACGAAGACATGCTGAATCCATGAACTTAGCAACGTTGAGCAATAAACGACGGAAACGAACAAAGTTTCTCTTGTCTACTTTTCTTTCCTTAGCAAAGTCCTCATTTAACGCACGACTTCTGGCGCCCAAATTGCTTTCCTGTAGCGTAGTACGACACCTAATGTTATCGGTTGTCGACTTTTCCACATTAACAGTTTGTGTTCCGCGTGTATCATATATGATACACCGACTGCCGCGTCGCGTTCACAAGAATTCGCATTGGTGCGCGTTCTGCCCCTTCACGCAGTAAAACTTAAGTTTCAAAGAGACATTATCGCGATTAAATGATGTAAAGCCAAAGAAAGGACTTTCATAAGATATCTAATAACTATTTCTTGAGCCATTCATGTGGCCTGTTATGGCAACTTATAGAGCCCAATACACGGGCTTCGGCTTTGACACCTCATCAGTTGGGCAGTACCGTTTGTCTTAGCCAACCCTCTTGGAGAAAACCTCTATCATAGGCAACCCACAGAGCCCAATAACAGACCATATGAATGGCTCAAAATTAATTATCAGGCATATTGAGATTTGAGTGTGGTCTTAAGAAAGCATTCGCAACGAAAGTTATGATATTTCATCAATACCAGCCAGGAGCAATCAAGTGCACCACACTGCCAATATAGCGATATTTTCCACTTGACGGCACGTGTAAATAGTACGGCGTCGCCTACTCTGAGCGAGGTGGTTGGGTTCCATCCCTCTCCTCAAGAGGATTGGCTAAGACAGAAGGTACTGCTCAACTGATGAGGTTCTCAAGGGCGAAACACGTGTATTTAGCTCTATAAGTTGCCCATAACACACCACATGAATGACTCAAAAAATACTTGTTAGAATATACTGAGATTTGAGCGTGGTCTCAAGAAAACACTCGGAAAGAACTTTACCTCTATAAGAGTTTTCAATAAAACAAAGTAAAATTAGCGCTACTGACTAGTGGGGAAGGTTGCAACGATCAATAATGTTTATAATAGATTATACTGACGATGGAAAATGAATACTCATGGAACGACAGAACAGGTTTTGGCTCTGTAATTCCATGAAGCTCCCAATTCCTGAAGCAAAGCATTGAGAATTGATGCGAGTCATCGATGAGATGGCATCGCATGTACTTTGCAGCATCAGTTTGTCGAACTGTTCATTTTATTGAGATTTTCTTATACTAATATAAACTTTGGTTGTTGTATGAAATGAGGAGATATCAAAAGTGAAAGATTTGCCTAGTAGATTTCACTCTAAAAGTACAAAATAAAAATTATATTCTAATGTCATATCTTACGGTTCTTTTTTTCTAAAGACCACAGCTCAAAGATTCAATATGTTGATACTCATTTCTTGAGCCACGCATGTTAGTGGTCTGTCAAGGAGGGCTGACTTATAGGCCCGATACACGTGTTTCGATCTTGCGATCTCGTCAGTCGGGCAGTTACCCTTTCTCGTCTTTTGCTAATCTCTGTGGGTGCTGCAGTCCCCACACTAAGAGTTAGCGACGACGAACGTTTTACACTCTATGTCCAGTGAAACTCACCGAACACAGAGTGTTGTACACTCGATTGCTTTCGGCTGGTATATTCAAAATATCATATCTTTCGATTCGAGTGTTTTCTTAAGACCACAGCTCAAAGTTTCAATATGCCTGATAATTATTTCTTGAGCCACGCATGTCAGTGGTCTGTCAAGGAGGGAGCACCCACAGAGATTAGCAAAAGACGATAAAGGGTAACTGCCCGACTGACGAGATCGCAAGATCGAAACACATGTATCGTGCTCTATAAGTCAGCCCTCCTTGACAGACCACTAACATGCGTGGCTCAAGAAATGATTATCAGGCATATATTCTAATGATGACGATTTATTGTTTTGTGGCAATTCACATAGAAGAGTTGATGTTGATGTAACAATGAAGGATGATTGTGAATAGAGATATGGATAAACACAAATTAGACTGCTTAAAAAATTTCCATTAACGATTCGAATTATAACCTTTTCGTAGGCATTTGTTTTACTCCTTGAGAAAGCGAGGCTTTAATAAAGACGTTGGCATTAATTCTTAGACCGATAGACCTTATTGAAGTCTCTTCAATCGTTTTTTTTAATCATTTATCATTCATCATTTTTGCTATCATTTCCTGACGATCAAATCCCTTCTAATGACAATTAAGAAAATCAAATTTCATTGAAAAACTGCACATTGTTATTGAAGCACTCCGCCCACTCAGCAATCGCGTCACTTACTGAACGATATATTTAAACGGAAGCCAGAGTGTTGAACAATCTTTCTACAATTAGAGCTAGAATGGAGTTTTGGAGATATCAAAATATATGAAACAATCGCTCTGACCTTCCCGAGATATGTAATTTTATGCCACCACTATGTTACTCTTACTATGTCTGAGGGTGAGGTAGCGTAGCGGTTAGTGATGCAGTGTATGAGGAAGTAAGTTGATAGACGATGTGCTGCTCAATCTCCTACAACGGATTTTTGCAATGAATCAACGGACGCCTTGCGGAACGCTTTAGCTCGAGTTATTCCGAAACGGAAAGGAGAATCGTCTTAACATTATAGCATTATACGACATTCAAGCGAGAAAGGAAAATCCTCGAGCAGTAGCGAGCACCACGGGAAATATTTTAAGAGCATCATATAAAAGTAGTGTCGAAATCAGCGCAGTTGATGCGATGACGGTTTATGTAAAATGATTAACTAATAGTAGTATTACTAAACTCTGCTGAGACCCATCGGAGAACTACATCGCTGTCTGCATTTCATAATGTTTTACAATTTATGTTCAATGTACTTTTGTAATTTTCATAACGTCCATCCCCACGATAAACAGACGATTCACAACAGCAATTGGATTCAATATAATAATTGGATAAAATACCTATCGCTCAATTAGCCGAAGGAATAAAAGCGTCAGGGAAAGGTTTTCTTCAGATTCCAGCTTTTTAATGGCCCTGCCATATATTAACATGAGTGTTGCGTAAGCTATCTACTGAGCACGAAATGTACAGTGAAAAAAACTTCGTGAGAAAAAAAAAACAGGCGTCGTTGCGCACTAGTCCCAGCATCACTCTACAGATGCATAACAAATATCATAGAATCACCAGCTTAAGTGCAATCTCATTAGCAGATTGAATTAGTACAGTATCTCAGTCTCAAATCACTGATTAGTTAACGGAGAAGTGTCGAGAAATATGAGACACTTTACTATGTATTGCAAATCTATATAACCATGTTACAGAGAAAACTGCTTGATAATTCTTTTTGAGCCATGCATATGATCTGCTATGGGTACTTACACAGTGCATTACACAAGTGTCGGCCTTCCAGCCTTCTCAGTTGCACGCTGCCTTTTCGTCCAGTCAGTTACTCGGGCAGACATCCCAATTATATAGGAACCGATGCCGAAATATTTACATCTGCCCTAGTAAAATCACATAGGCAGTGCTGTACAGTCGATTGCTCGTGGCTGGTAAAACGTATATTGACTGAGCCGAGAGGCACCGTGCAACTGACGACGCTGTAATGCCGAAACACGTGTCTTGCACTGCAAAAGTGTCACAACAGACCTCATAAAAAGCTCAAAATATGACATCAAAAGCATACTATTATGAACGCGAGGAAGACCATATTTCTCAAAAAATCTGTAGTGTAGGACCCACCAGTACTGCTTTTGCATGAATGTCGAGATAAAAACCTCAAGTGATTGCTTGAAGTAACATTGAAACTTTTAGAGATTGCGGCCGAAGCTTTGTACATTACTTTTGTCATTGATCAGGACTAATTAGCCTCAAGAAGATGAAGATATCCAAACATTAATCAAGTAAGGATTCAAATGATCTCGTGTAGGTCGAGCAATCTCAAAAGTATATTGGCTTTTCATGCCGAGCGTGAAAAAGGACTTGCTTTTGAAAATTTTCAAAGGTACTTATGTCACATTGGCAGACTTGATGCGCTCGCTGGAGGACAAGTAGATTCAACAACACGGTGAGATAGCGAGATCGCCAAATTTCTTAGTTCCGCTGCGTATGAGACGAGACAGGTGCCACCTATACAGTGTCATCGGTAAGCCTTTAGCCCCAATGGTAGAAGTGCCATGTGATGCATTTGTTCTTTAGTTCGATACTAACTATTGTTCTAATTCAGTCGAAGGATTCAAATTGTTCACCGTCGTGTTTAATTGACTTCACTGAATGCTGACAATGAAGAATCTCACTCTTCAAAATGAAGTCTCACTTCTCCCTTCTTATTAGAATTATCAAAATGTCCACGTATTAGTTCGCGTGGTAGCACCTGCTACCATAAACAAGACTCGTTCGGAGATTACTATTTTATTTCCCAAAAACAGCTTTGTACAAACCTTACCACTGATTAATAACAACCTCGTATGTGTTCATCAAGAAAAAGCGATAAGAATTTCCACTTTCTCTATGTAAT